GAAGCTGATAATGAAGATGAAGTAAGGAAATACATTGAAGAAGATCCATATGTTATCAATAAAGTTTGGGCTGGATATGAAATTTTAGGGTTTAAGTATGTTTTTTTTTTTTTAAAAAAAAAAAAAAGGAATGTATGTAAAAATTGGATGCTAAACATATTAACATTTATAGGTTGGCAAATTTATAATATGATTAAAATTCAGTTATAAGCAATGTTGGAAATCTAAATCGATTTTAATGTTCTCAGGCAATTTTTTTATATGTTTATTAATAAAAAAATTGGAAAATTGATGTTCTCAGAGAACATTGAGAACATCAGATTTCCTACTCTGGTTATGAGTTACTAGACGATTCCGTCACAGATTGTACACATCAAGTGTCGAAATAAAGAATCATTAGTTTGTAAAATTTATTCAGATTATAAAAATTATTGTACAAGTCTTACAATAGAGAGACAGGATAAGTATCGGAGTCTCAGAAATCTAAATTCAAAATTCTAACACAACAATCGGACCCACAACTTGCTAATTGTAGCCTATCCAAAACTTCATTGTCACCGTTGTTGACATCCTTTGTATTTGATACCGTACTTGTAGATCGAAAAGTGAGGCGATTCACACTCGCAACATGACAATTACTGAAAAATATGTATATGTATATATATATCAGAAAATGACAGAATATTGATGAAAAACATAACATATAGGGTATTACTTACTTCCTGTCAATATCAATTATCAAATTCCATTTATCAGTTTGTGTTTTTTCAGATTGGTAACATAGAATTTGCCCATTTTCTAAACCAATTGCCACAATGTATCTTAAATAAGAAAATATTACATTAAACACAATAAGCATACGTATCAATAAAATAAAATGCATAAAATAATAATAAAGTATTTACGTTTCATCAATAAATCTAGGTGCAAAATCAATAGCTGTAACTGCATCGTTAAGTTTCAAAGTTGTGATACAACGCCATTGATTTTGATTTTGATCTTGTGATTGTGAAGCGACTTCTCGATTCCATATTTTAACCTTTAAAGTAATAAAACGGTAATTAAATACAGACATAAAATTTCATATATAGTATATATCTAAAAATTTACCGTTTTGTCTCTTGAAGCAGTAGCAAATAACAAATCATCAAGACTCCATGAGCAATCCCATATTATACGCGCGTGTGCTTTATTCTTTGTTATAAATTTGTATGGTGTTGCTATTATGAAGTAAAGGATAAGTTATTAGATATGTAACACTTCCTGAATAATATAACAAACTTTCTTCTCGATAAGAAAATAATATCAAATTTACCTTCATCTCCTTCGCATTTCTCAAACAAAGACCATGTCCTATCCCTCGAGACACTCAACATCAATTTATCATTGTGTGAAAATCTAATTTTTGTAACTGTCAATGAATGTGATTTCAACGATCCATTCGGCAATTCTTTCCATGTTGTTGTATTATATAATCGGATAATTGCATCTTCTGGCGTTGTAGCCTTTCCAATGAAAGAAATTTGTTTTTCAAAAAAGAGAAATTTTAAATATGAGAATCGGCGTTGTTTTATGATGTATAAAAAAGGTAAAAGAATAAGGCGTATCACACCTTACAGGCACAGGCTACATATTTTCCATCATGACTTGCACCAGCACTTATTAATTCGTATCCATGTCCATACCTATATAAAATCATAATATATACCAAAAATTACAACAGGATCATTTCGAACCAGACATAAAATAGCCATTATTTATAAATATACTAACAATTTATCGATTTCGGGCCATAAAGTATTCTGCAATAATTGTTCTTCAAATGGTGGTTGTTCCAAAATCTTTAAAGAACTTGGTGTTGTCAAAGTTTCAGAGAATGTCTGTTTTCGACTTAATAATTCATCTTCGGATTGAGCTGATAATTTTTCAACATCATAATTAAATATTGCTTTATTAGATAACCCAAGTGGTGGTAGGTTTGCCCCTATCGGACGAGAATCCTTTGAAAGGTTATTAATTCGAATATTAAAAAAAAATAAAGAATGAGATGAAAACAGTACAAAACAAAAAACAATAGATATATATATATACTAACCGATTCTCCCGAAACTTCTTCGTCTAATAATTTTGATAATGATTGAACAAAGGTTTTTGGCGCATCAAATACTCTTAATATCTAATTAAACAAAAGTTTAATACAAATGTTAATAATTTTTATGAATTACAATTTATTAAATAAAATAATGTTTGCTTACTTTTTCATCAGCACCGCTGACAAATCTCCACCGACTAACGAAGGCAATACATTGTATATCATACCCGTGAATTTGAGGCCTCGCAATTTCATGCCATGTTATTACTATAGAATTTGGTTTTTCTGAGAATTGAGCATCATTTTTTTGATCTATATCAAGTTGTCGGATCCAAGGTGCAAATAAACGCGTTGTTTGATCAAGACTGTATATAATCATCAAGGATTTATTCAAAATTAACCGAATTTTTTGTAAACAAGCAAAAAAATAAAACAAGTGTACCTTACAGAGACAAGATATTTAAAGGTCGGATCCCATGTAATATCTTGTACAGAATTAAAACATCCACTAATTGATATTTTAGGTTGCCAATCTTGATCATAAAAAGCGTGAATATAATGAGGTAAAATATATGTGCAATAAATACCATTTCAATGAAGAATAAAGATAAAAATACAATTACCATGATCACTAAAGTTTTTCCACAAATGAAAAGCACCGGTATGGCCATGAGCTAAAATATAGTCTCCTTTTGGACCAAATAAACCTCCGAAAAATCCTAAGGCAGATCCGCTAATTTCACCGACTCGGACCTATAATTGCGAATAAAATTGTTAGAGTTTATTATATATCATATATAAGCAATAAATCAGGAAATGATATTACCAAATTCACCCAAACACCAGTGTCCTGGTCAGGTTTCCAAACCATCATTGATTTGTCAGATGAAGAAGTTAAAATAGACATTGGTTGATGATATTTAGTATTTCCTTCCTCGTCTATACGATAAATCAAGCCACTATTATAAATATGAAGTGATATTAAACATAAATATTTGTGGCAGCTGAAGCTGAGATCGGCTGAAGCTGAGGTTTTGAAATATTTTAATAATAAATTTTAAAAATTTTTTGGGTCGCTTTTTTTTTAGAGTTAAGTTAGGGTTTAGGTAATTTTATTAATAAAAGAGTACAAGTGAATTTTAGTAGGTATTATAGATTTAAATAGAGATCCCCAGTCTCAGCTTCAGCCGCCACAATATTTATTACAAATAAAAAGTAAATTTTAACACACCCACTATAGAAATCGGAGGTTGCCAACAAACACTGTATACCCAATCATCATGGCCCATAAGTAATGCTTCGAACATTACCGAGTATCTTTTTCTAATCATAAATGAAAGACAAGTGCCATGTAATAAGTAATTGTTTTTGTGTATTCCAGAATAATATTGAATTCATCTTACTTTGTAGATGATATATCGACGTCTATTATATGAGCTTTTGTATGCAATTGTACTTTTTTTCCAAGTGAACTATATAGAAATAAAAATTATAATAAATACAAATAATTAATACATATAACGTAAGCCCGGAAATAGTCTAAAAAAAACACACACTTTGTATCATCTGGAAGATTTTCTAGCAATTCTTTCAGACTTTTTTTTTCCTTTGATTTTCCGTTTGTAACCTCCTCACTATCCAAAGAGCTACTAACCTCACCATTATATGAGACTCTCCATAATCTTACATATTTATCTTGCGATGCGCTTGCTAATAATAAATCACCATCCTTTAATTTGTATTGTTCTTGAATGTTTGAATCTGATGCAGATGGAGTGATGAAGCTGTTTGATAAAGACAATTCAGTGTATGTAGCAAACGATAGAGATCTAATCCAATTTTCATGTCCTTGAAGTTTTAGAGATGGAATAAACTAAGATTAATAGTATGATTGACGTTGTGTATGTGGTTAGATCAACAGTAAACACATAATTACATGATAATTATTTACCAGCCCATCTTTTTGAACATATAATAATATCCTTTTATCGGTACTTCCGCATGCCAATATTGGGACTAAATAAGAAGTCATTAACTTTAAATCATGATTTTAATTTAAAAGCTCATACCATTACAAATAACACCATTTACTTACTTTTTGATTCTGGTAAATACGACAGGGCTAAGGCCATAGGATACTTTCTTTCCAAATCAATTGTTTGCAAGCATTTTACTGAATCTATCACAATTTTGTAGTATACATTTAGCTGTGATATTTGTAGACAGGGAAATGAATTATATATTTACCTTGAACATCATCACAAATACTCCTTTCCCAAACTTTAACAACACCATCTGCAGATCCAGTTATGATTAGGTCTTTATCCACAATAATCGACTTTGCACGAGTTACTCCAAGGGTATTTACAGAGCCTCCATGAGATTCTAAAATTGCCGAATTTACCCACTAATAATTATAAATGATTTAATTCACACCCAACAATAGTTAATGCATATTGATACGAAATGAAAGAAACTAATTTACTTTATTGTCTTTAGTTAATTTCCAAACTCTGGCAGTTTTGTCAGTCGATCCAGATATTATTGCAATATTCCTCTGATTTAATTCATCTCCTATTGGCAAAATGGTAATTAGTGATTGACAGAAAAAACGAAGCCAAAACTAATTTGTCTTACCTCTATAAATAAAATCAACACAAGTTACTCGATCTTTGTGTCCTGCAAGTGTAGAAATAATGCCACAGCATTCCGGATCCTAAACACACATATATTATTTAAAGTTGCACGTTTAAAGAAAAATTCATTATTACTATGTTTCCTTCTTTGCTACTCTTACTTTCTCAAATTAAATATAATCAACTACATATGTTTGACTTTTTCTAACCTCAGGATAATATAGAGCCACATAATTATAAGCTCCAAATGCAACTGTTCCATCCTTTCCCCAAGCTGCAACTTGTGGAAATCTGTTACATCCAATGCTTGTGTATTCATTTGACACCTTCGGTAACATTTTTTGACTTTGTGAAGTATTATTTAATTATTCGTGATCGATGAATTTGAATTGAATGTAATTTATAAAGGGAATGCGTAATTTAAAAAAACTTCTAACCCGGGTTCTTTCATATTATCATGACATGATATTGTGAGAAAAACACATGTATATTTCATATAAAAATGACAAGGATGACATTAGTTTTATTACTGCTAAATTGATCCGGAGGTACAAAACGAAAATTTTAATATTTGCTATTCGGATTATATAAACTTACGATTTAGGGTTGAACGTAAATTCGAGATAATAATTGAATTAATTTACTTTTACAAATGTAGAAATTAATTGCCCGATCTCGTAATTAAAATGTAAACGTTTAAATAATTGAGATAGAGACAATTTTTTTCTTTTTATATACGGTGATCTTATCATCACATGATCTGTATCACAAAGTAATGGGCTAAGATTCTACGTCTGCGAAACCTGAATTACTACTGTGTATTGTGTTAAATAATTTCAAGAAATCTAATCTTCTGATTCACTAAACTTTTTCAAAATTAAAACAACGTCTTCGGATCCATTTTTACGAGCCTTATCTAATGGAGTATGTCCATCAGAATCTTTTAGCTTGGGATTAGCACCATATGATAATAAAAGATTAACCATTTCCGAATTATTGATTATAGCAGCACGGTGGAGTGGCTAATTAAATTTAATAAATTGTAATATGCATTACATAAGTGAAAATATGTCAATTGTTGATATTTTACAAATATCATACTCACAGTTGACGAAAGTTCTGGAGTTACGGCGTTTACATTTGCACCATGTTCCAGTAAAAGACGACATATTTCTAGATTACCACTTCGAGCTGAATAATGCTATACAAATGGTTAAAAATCAGAATTTAACAAATTTCATCGTCGCATTATAAAAAACACAAGAGATTATAAATAATATATATTTTCCAAATACCAAAGGAGTATATCCAGTAGCATCAATTTGATTCGTAATTGCGCTACCTTTCTTTGAAATAATTGACTTTACTTGTGAAATATTACCAATTAAAGATGCATTATGTATCGATCTTTGAAAATCTAATTCATCTAGGTCTTGAGCATATAATGAATGGTCGTGAGAACAAGATTTATCATGATGGTGATGCGAACTCATGATTAAAAATAATTATTGAACCCAATCATGTTATATAGGATTTACTCCGTGCCGGTGATACAAGCCAAAAAAGGAACGTTAAAAATTAGATATGAGTGCGTGAGAATGAAAACCTGTAACTGATCATAGTAAATCATTATAATCAGTTCCAGGTTTTTATTC